TGTAGAAATATATGCAAATTCGATTACCGCTCAGTGCAAAGTGTTTCAACAATGATGCAATTTTCTGAGTTCTCTATGTACATATGTCAATCCGTATTCTAGAAATTAAAATATAAACTTACCTGAGATGGAGCTATTCAGCTACTTCTGTTACTAATTATTGTTACTGCAAGATCTTACTGCATTAAAAGATGATGATGAAATGCTTTCTAATGAAAGTGAACTTACCTCACGTTTGTGAGCCGGAACCTGTGCTATAAAGTCTGGATGTTGAAGAGTTTGCAAGAAGTCTGGCCACGGGATCTCGCCGAAACCCTCCGGATCAAACTGCAGCATAAAGGGACTTATGTACTGTTTTTGTGATGCGTCAGTAAAATAGATGACGTCAGTATAACTCGACAAACAGATCATAAAGTTATAAGGTTAGCATCGTTGGTTTTTATGTTACCGGACATAAAACGGTATAGGTATCCAGTGGAAATGAAGATCATCTGATAAGTACCGTATGGCTTATACACATATACCTACGCTAAATATTTTAAAGAATGATAAAGATTTTAAAAAATATTGTGAAGCTTTTAAGTTTCGCTTAGTCATCACTCAAAAACGTATATTCACGCCTATATCCTCGAAGGGGTATACAGAGGGTAGGTACACCTACCTGTATATGTTTATAATTTTAGTCTCACCCAAGAAGACGATAGTAGGAAACAGATGTTCCTTAAAGTGATGAATTGGGAAATATCAGGAATAGTTCGAGCTGGTCAGGGTTGCATACCTAGAACTGGTAATTACTGTTGCCGGAAAATTAGAGCCCTCTAACCAAACTTTCAAGGTTTTCTCTTTTTTGCCTAGATTTTAGCATTTTCTCGTTATCTAGGTCTCTGAATTATAGACCACCGAATACTGTGTAAGTAACTATTACTTCAAATATGGTATAAATTATTATTGAAATGAAATTGACAAATTAATAATTTACTCCATACTTATCTAGCCTATGGATAACGCTAACTTACCTTAAACTATATGTTTAAATGTTTACTATATGTATACTAATTTTATTGTGGTTCTAGAAAATTAGATATATCAGCAATGATAAAGTTTAGAACAATCAGCTAATCAATTTACCTGCCCGCGATACGGTCACGTAGAATAACCCCCGATTATGATTTCATCGTTGCATCTCCAACGTCATAATCACGTGTGTCTCCCACTTCACACATGTGCACTTCAGTTATGATATTTTCATGTGTTTCCCAAAACAGTGGCACAAAAACTCCGGAGCGCCCCTATCTCGAGTCTCGCATTATCTCAATGTTGCGTACGTGACGACATACCGTTTGATCCGCGCGACACCGCCGCGCCTTTATCTACTTATAAAACATTTTATACCCCGCTTCTGTACATTTTAATAAGTCAAAACAAAGAATATTCTTTGAAATTTGTTTCCGGATACTAAACGACAGCTTTAATGAAATATGCGAGTTTAAAATCGTAGCTTTATGTGACAGAGACGCTACGTTTATGAGCTTTTATAATAATCGTTAACATTCATGTCAAATTTCATGCAGTAACTGTATTTCTAAAGTGGATTATTAAGACACAAATAAAAAGTACATTTTAGTTACAGGATTGAACCAGTTATGCCAAATGATTCAACGAAATGGTAAGTAATATTTTGTTTAAAAGGTAAGCGCACTAGTAAAATAGCAGAATTGAGGCCCTGGTTTGAAAGTGGGTCCTTGTGCAGGTATTGGGGCACAAATCTATACTACAAACATACTAAGATACATGAAACAAACACAAAGAACACTTAGACTTAGAACAACAATTTATGGATCACACAAAGTGTTGTCCCATGTAGGAATCGAACCCACAACACTCAGTGCAGTAGTGGCGAAGTGACCGTTTTAACTACCACTCTATCCGTGCAGTTAACTACTTATAACTTGTACGAGTACTTGGGGAAACAATTTCATCCAGTTTTTAGGAAGATTTTAATATTAAGGTATACATTTATATATTTTTTCATTTATATTATATTATTATTATTTATGTATTTATGTCATTTACATTTTATTATTATTTATTTATTTATGTCAAAGGGGGCAGACGAGCAGACGGGTCACCTGATGGAGTGACCATCGCCGCCCATGAACGTCTGCAACTCAGGAGTCACAAACGCGTTGCCGGTATTTTATATTTTTCCATTAATATTAGAAATATATCTGTCTTATTTTCTATTCTTATCCTTTATGTTTTTTTTATTATTGTACAAATTTATTCAGCTTTTTGAACAGGTAGCAAAATAAAATAAACATATCGCACGTGGCATCAGCGACTGCCGACGTGTTGTCAACAAAATGAATTATCTAGTCACAGTAACTCCCTGTATCAATTCTCATTTTGTTGCAAAGCAATTTTTTTATTAATAATCCTTTAACAGCGTCATAAAATTAAGACATCAGCACAATATAAGACATTACTACAAACTTGCATTTTGCAAGCAATAGAACTGACAATGGGCGGCAAAGCACTTGTGACACTAGAGTTCAGGAGGCCAATTCTCGTAATAAAAGTTCGGTCACAATTCAGTTCTGATCAACTTTCGATCTCACAACTGTCATAAAAGGTATTTTCATAGTAACATGGTAAAGCATTACTAAGACTAACACATCACATCATCAACAGCCTATACTAGTCCACTGCTGGAGATAGGCCTCTCCTTAGAAAGGAGGTTTTGGCCTACTATACCACGCTGGCCAGACGGGTTGGTATAGGGTTTGTTTCAAGTTTTCCTTCTCTTTGCAGTGCTGTTGTCCTGCTTAGTTTGCTCCCTTAGTCGGCTCTTACGACACCCACGGGATGAATTGGGGTGGTGACAATTTGTATTCTTTTGTATATTATTCGGTTACAATATAACAAAGCTTACGATATAATCAAATTACACTCAACGTTGGATGCTTGATACTTCACTACGAAAATACCTTATATGACAGTTGTGAGATCGAAAGTTGATCGGAACAGAATTGAGACCGAACTTTTATTACGAGAATTGGCCTCCTACACTCTAGTGTCACAAGTACTTTACCGCCCATTGAGTCTCTCTAGAGTCGGGGGGTTTGGGGGGTGTGGCTCCGGTTACCTCACTTACAAATCAATTTCCAAGTTGAACGAACTGACTACATACAAGTTAGTTTGTTTAGAACTTTTTTTATAACTTTTGAGTTTTAACTTCTCAATCAAGTGTAGCAAGTTACTAGACAAACAAAAAATCCTACCACCTTTCCTACTTTACCCAACTTTACTACAGTTCGGCAATTTAAATTTCAGTAAATAAGGTTTAATATAGCGTATCTACTCAGTCTTTATTATTCCATTTTGCTTATAGTGAGAATGGAGAAAATAAACACTTAAAAATTAGAAAACCAACTACAAAAAGCACTAACAAAGGCCACTTATGGTAATTATGGTGAAAAATAAACTGAAAATTGTACAATAATTGATTACAAACTTAGCGGATAGGACTTAAATACATTTCACACTTAATAGTATAATCGATAATATTATAAGGCACCTTCGGATCTGTTTGAACTCGGTGTCAAGGTAGAATCGCAATAAATTATTAAACATATAGACTGCTTAATTAAGAACGAAATAGGCTGTTTAGTAATAGTTAAAGCTTGCCCGTCTGTCCGTGTGTCACCACCGATTTTCTCAGAAACCTAGCAAGTTGAAATTTATACCAGACACTGAGGTCTATGGTCCCTATTAGGTGTATAAAAATCAAGGTCCTGAGTCAACACGATAAAAAGATATGGGCAAATTTCGATTTTCGCGAAAACTTGTAAGTACCAAAATTTCAACTTTTTTTATATTTCAGAACTTTTCTCTTTACTTGTGCTGTAAGACCTTGCTTTTAACCAAAATTGACAATTCTTTTTTCTTTTTTTTTTTACGTGTGGAAATCCCCTCGGACCGTGACCCCACCGGGGTTTGCGGCGGGGTGGTGTGTCGGACTCGGACCGACTAAAACCACACGGTGTGCCACTCTGCGCCTGTAACAGGAGGGATCCGGGACCAGCTGTTGTTAAGACATCCGGACCCCTCCTAGCGCCAGCCCGCTCCTGGTGCGGGCTCCGTCTCAAAATTCTCCTCTCTTTAGGCGACGTCCGGCACACGTGGACGCCGCCCCCTCGCGGCTGGCCAAACTAATGCGGGTGGAGGGGAAACCCACCCCGTCCACCCGAGGCCACACTCAGGGCGGCATGAGGCGGTGATAGGCGCGCCTCCGCCGCCCGGTTCGCCGGCGGCGGATCGGGTCCGAGTGGAGGTCGTCCTCCCGGGCCTTCTCCGCCGCCTCCTTCTGTGAGATTACTTCCTCGCAGAAGGTTGCGACCGCGGTAAAACAACTGTCGCTACCGGCCATGGAGCGTAAAATTGACAATTCTAGGTCAACCAGAAGTACCCTATAGGTTTTGGGTCGAAAACCTATATGATAGTTCCCGTTGACCTAGAATCACGAAATTTGGCAAAAAGAAACGTCTTACAGCACAAATAAAGGAATAATTCCAAAAAATAAAAAACGTTGAAAATTAAGAAAAATTTTGGTACTTACAAATTTTCGCGAAAATCTAGGTAAAATCTGGGTAGGTACGGAAAGCTCGGCGCACGAGTTCGACTCGTACCTGACCGGTTATATTGAAAACTTTACAGAGTAAGCTTTGTACGTATCTACATAGTAGAAATAATTGAAATAGGTATTCGTACTCACCCTATCAAACAGGAGACGCCATTTCTGCCAAAAAAGGGAAGCTTTAATATTTGATTTTTGCGCATGCAATTTCCTTTACTACATTTTGAACTCTTTCAATTAGAAAATACGGTAATTCAATAACATATTTAAAGAGTACATTAACCTTTTGAAACCAACTGTAACTTAATAATAACCTCAGACATCTCACACGCGGCCGTCTGATCCCAAGCTAGGTAATTTAGGTTCAATTATATTTATAGGTACTAGATGATCCAGTGATAGAATTGTCTATTGTTAAATAGTATACGATAGATAGTAAAAGTAAGTTTTCAAAGGTTCTCACATCATGCATCAACTCCCTCCGTATCTCCGCCTCGTCCAATTCCGAGCCGAGGTCCGTGTGATCTGTGTCATATAGCGGTTCCGCCGCCCGTGATATAGAACCAAGGGAGTCTCTAGCCGATGCAAGGGAACCTGTGACTGTTGGCAGCACCCCTGCCTCAATCCCCGATTCCATGGAGGTGTTAGTAGAGAGGATAGTGGCAGCGGGCGGCGCGAGCATGTCGCCGCCTGCGCCACTGCCCACCCACACAGACATACTTCTAGCAACACCATCCACACTACTGCAGTTCCCTATTATTACAATGCCTTCTTTATCATTATATTAGTTAACTTTTTAATTTAAAAAGTTTTGTGTCATCAACTCGAAATATTCTCCAAAATATATTAATTTCGGACAGAGATATCGGGAACGGATATTTTATTCGGACGCTTGTAAATGGACTTGGAATTGAGTTAGCTATTATTTGCTAAATATAATGAATGAAAAAAGATCGTAAGGCACGTAATTGAATAACATTGGCCTCGCTTGTAGAACCTGGAACAATAATATAAATTTAATTATTATTTTTTACATCTCACCGTCATAATAACTGCGGCTGCTTAACCCCTTAATTTCAATACATCTATTCTTTTCACGAATCGTACATGACCTTATTTAAAAAAACAAAGCTCTTTATAAGTAGACCTTGACTTATTTTAATTTGTAAAGATTTTATATTTGTTCATAACTATTGTGACTATTGAAATCCAAGCATTCATTAATATGCCCCTAATAAGGTATAATAAAACACAGCAGTACATAAGCAACGCAACCTATAAACCACAAGCTAACTTTATTAAGTTTGACGTTTACCGCATAAAATCAATTTTTTTGTACACCGAGATAGGCAATCAGCTGAGGGAGGAAAACGTGAGCGGAACAGAGGGCTTCAACCCTCTTGGTGTTGCTATAGTAACGCACTGCGATTTTTATACCCCGGTGAACATTAGGTTTGTTTTGCTAACACGTGATTAACATAATGTAAGAATATTATCGTCTTAAACCTTAATTAATTATAATACATATGCCATTTCATTTTGTTTTTAAAACAAAGTTTACTCAGTAAAAAATGAATAATTAAATTATTCCAAAAAAGAATATTTTATCCATTTTTTTTTATAACAACATAATAACTGTTAAGTTCCCAGGCTTAGAAATTTTAAATAAACACTTTTTTTATTTATACTAGATGTTACACATAATATGTTTGCGGTCGAAAATATAACCAAAATATTTATGTTATTTTGTTACTTACATTTACTTTTTCTAATCAATCACTTCACTATCATAAGGGGAACTTTACACGTAACTTCATTTTCAAAATATATGTGTTATTATAGTGTTTCGTGTCAAGAACACATTAGACTTTGAAACACGATGGACATTTAGCTGTGTGTCAAAACACTTCTGTGCCAGTGAAAGTGAGAATGGCGTCCAGATTTCAGCGCATGCGTGTTGGTAAGAAATGCAGGAGGGTTCTTGCCATGAAATATGTATGAGATGAGCCCTTTCAAATGCAGCGATTACCACAGTATGCTCTGACCATATTTCTATGTACAGGCGTGTTAGTTAAGTATGTATCTGGTGCAGTCTTCTTTAGAAACAACTTAATAGCAAAGGCTTAGTACCAAACCGTGCAACCTAGTCTACTAAACTTTCGGAAAGAAAAACTTTTTACAGACTTATACAACTTTACGTAATAATCATACTTGCATTTTACATGAATAGTGATAGCTGTTATGTTGTTAATAAGTGTACCTTGTTAAATCCCGATTAACAGCCTCATTACTTCTAAATCTGGATAGTTGAAACATTTACTATCTGTTTTTTAATTAAATTTTCGGGCAGTAAAGAAATTACAATGAAATAAGAAAATAAAATAGGTATTTTATTTATAGGTATTTTATAGGTAATTACATAATACTAATCTATAATTTCGATAAATTGAAATACGAGTATAATGAACTTTGAATTGAGATAATAATAGAAATCTTAAATAAACACTTAGTAATACTGAGGATATGAACAATCATCTACACACACGGAGACATACAAAGATATATTAGGTATTCAGTAAATTCGATCTTAGGGAATAAGATAAGATATAATACTGGGGGGCTATACTATAATAGGCTGTTCGGGATTTAAATAAACGAAAAGACAGAACCATAATGACGTAAAACGTCTAACTATTAGATAGGTGACTAATAAAAAAGTAAATGCAGCAACAAAAATCGAGAAAGGTTTATAAATACTGGAATTTAACTGGAGCCTAATTTTCGTAATGTAATTTCGGTCAAAGTTTAGTTCGGATCTATTCTCGATCTCACAAATGTCATATGTCATGTATTTTTAACGAATTTTTATTCCGAGAACTGGCCTCCTGTTTGTTTCTTAATATCATTTCTTTATCACTAATTTATTTTTATTTCTTTAGTAAAATTCTAAACTAAACTCAAGTGGCCTAGACCTTGTACATAAAGTTACAAAATCAACAAAGTCTTTCATCTAAACTTGTATTTTAACTTGAACCCACGGTACTCTTAAACCCAAACCCTGGGAGTTGTCTTTTTAAAATAAAAGTAAAAAGTCTTTCAGATTTCTTAAAACTCATTAAGCGAACGAATTAATGAAACGAAATTAATATCTTTTCGTTCACTTTAAAATTGTATAAAGTCATGGTATAAAATAACATAATATATATTGTATAAAAGTTACAATCTAAAAAAATACTATCCGTGTGGTGACGCATTAAGAATACAGAGTGTCACCATCCCTATTCATTCCGTGGGTGTCGTAATAGCCGACTAAGGGAGTAAACTACGCAGGACTGTTGTCCTGCGTAGTTTACTCCCTTAGTCGGCTGCAAAGAGAAGGAAAACTTGAAACAAACAGAACCCGTCTGGCCAGCGTGGTATAGTAGGCCAAAACCTCCTTTTTAAACAGATGCCTATGTCCAGAAGTGAACTAGTAAAGGCTGTTGATGATGATGATGATGATGATGAAAAGATACAGTTGTTTAAAGCGCCTGATAATTTATTGCGATCAATGAGCATCTCTCTTACGACGGTGATAATGTTTGGCGTGTTAAGTGAAATTATAAAATTATGATCAGTACCTACATTATTCTATATACGTTTGTAAATATCAACCATTTTTATCAGTTTAAAGCAAGAATGTTTTTTCTTATTTCATAAATTTAATACTTTGTTTAAAACTTGCAACACTATTTAGAAATGTCAAAATATTTGGATTTTGTCTTGGTTCTCGCGCAGTGGAAATTATGTAAGCAAAACTAAAATAAGTGAAATTTCACGTTGTGAAAGTGATCAATCGTGATCCAATTCACTATTATGCCTAGTGGTCGCACTGTTCTGTTGTTGCGGAGGCTGTCGACGGGTGATAACAAATTGAAAACTATTACTATAAATCAAAACACTACCAAGGAACCGCTGTTAGCGAACCCGGTGTACATACATAGGGATTTGAGTTTATCAAAAAGGTATATTCTATATTATTTAGAACTGATAACCATTTTAAAATATGTTAGCTGCAATGCAGCTCTTAAGTCTAATCTATTTAGTCTATATCTGGTGAACAATGATAGGTGACCTTGTTTTTGTTTACATGTCGTGTTTACTACGACTATGAAAAGAGAAGGGAGGTATTATAGAGTTTTAAATAATGTAATGAAGTTGATTAACCTGAATATTGAAAAATGAGTAAGAATATATTATATCTAATTACCATTATATCTAATGTCTGATTAAAATAAATGATGAATCATTCTGAAATTATTTAATTATAAATTTATTTAATTCACATAAGGAAATGTTTCTTAGATTTTTTTTTAAATTACAGTTTTGTCCAAAATATTTGAGAAACACAAATAGTGGTTTTGTCTTATTTCACAAAACAGAAAATTAAACCTATGTACCTGTTTAACTACATAAATAAACTACTAAATAAAATACATCATAATTAATGTGGCTTAGATAAATAACTCTTAGTTGTTTTAGATACTACCTGAGCTTATAGTATGTTCAAATATTTTTTATAGATTATCAACATTTGGACCTAATAATATTGGTGTTCCACAACTAACAAGGTTCCTCAGTGACAACAAAATCATAATGGCTTCCTCTAATACTGACACTGCTAAACAGGAGAAACCTAAACACACTAACCGTTTGATAACAGAAAAATCACCATACTTGTTACAACATGCCCACAATCCCGTAGAGTGGTATCCGTGGAGCCAAGAAGCCATCGACAAGGCTAAAGAAGAAAACAAACTCATTTTTTTATCAGTTGGATACTCTACTTGCCATTGGTGTCATGTAATGGAGAAAGAATCTTTTGAGAGTGAAGATGTGGCTAAAGTCATGAATGAACACTTCATTAACATCAAAGTGGATCGCGAAGAACGACCTGACATAGATCGTGTGTATATGTTGTTCATCATGGCAACATCTGGTGGTGGTGGCTGGCCAATGTCTGTTTTTCTTACTCCAGACCTACGCCCTGTCACAGGGGGTACTTATTTTCCTCCTGAAGACCGGTGGGGAAGGCCAGGCTTTAAAACTATTCTACTATCATTAGCAAAGAAGTGGAAAAATGAACAACAGCAATTTTTGGAAGCTAGCAGCAATATCATCCAAGCCCTTCAGAAAATATCAATATTAGATTCAGGCTCATCTAATTCAGTACCCAGTGAAACTGCTTGGGAGTTATGTGTTTCCCGATACAAAAATCTCTATGAACCCGAATTCGGTGGATTCGGATCAGCACCCAAATTCCCACAAGCTTCTATTTTTAATTTTCTTTTTCACTATTATGCTCGTGATAAGAATCACACTGAAGGGAAAAAGTGCTTGGAAATGTGTCTTCATACATTAGAGAAGATTGCCAAAGGCGGCATTCACGACCACGTCTCCAGTGGTTTTGCGCGGTACTCTGTTGACAATGACTGGCATGTACCACACTTCGAAAAAATGCTTTACGATCAGGCACAGCTAATAGTTGCTTATGCGGATGGCTTTCTCGCAACAAAAGACAAATTTTACGCTGACGTAGTTCGAGACATTGCAAAATATGTCAAAAGAGACCTTCGGCATGAATCGGGCGGTTTCTACAGCGCCGAGGACGCCGATTCGTATCCACAGTTTGGCGCATCTCATAAAAAAGAAGGAGCTTTTTGCACTTGGGAATATAAAGAACTTAAATCTCTTTTGAAGACAAAGGTGACGGATGATATTACGTACTTAGATGTTTTCTGTGACTATTACAGTATTGAGGCAGATGGCAATATTTCTCCTGAAAGTGATCCTCATGGAGAACTTGTGAACCAAAACGTTTTGATTATATATGGTAGTAAAGAGGAGACAGCTGAAAAGTTTGGTTTATCGTTAGAACAACTCGACCAAATAATATCGGAGTGTATTAACATATTATATGAGGCCAGACAAAAACGACCACGTCCACATTTGGACACGAAAATGTTATGTTCTTGGAATGGTTTGATGATTGCTGGCTTAGCACAAGCTGGTCAAGCATTAGAAGAGAAGGACTATGTTGCAGATGCTATTAAAACCGCTGAGTTCATAAAAAAATATTTATATAACAATTCAACAAAGACATTGATACATTCTTGTTATCGAGCTGAAGACGGATCTGTTGCTCAAATGTAAGTTAATCATATTTCTTATTTGATGTTATTAAGTGTGGAATTTGCTCATAACATGATCAATACACTTGTTTGCAGAGACCAACCAATTCAAGGTTTCCTTGATGATTATGCTTTCTTAATCAAAGGTCTAATAAACCTTTACGAAGCCTCCCTGGACTACCGGTGGCTACAATGGGCTCGGGACCTGCAACTGAAGCAGGATGAATTGTTCTGGGATAGTGAGAATGGCGGTTATTTTAGTTGCTCAGCAGATGACAGTAGCGTGGTGCTAAGATTGAAAGAAGGTAATTATAAATTCATTTACAAAAAAAATATCATTGTTATTGGTGTTTAGTGTTTAACATAGATAAGGCAAAAACTTTAATCATCAAGAATTAAATTAATTGCCAACTTATAGCGGAAAATTACAAGTTCTCATTATTAGGTCTAACAGTGCTGATAGAATCTAGAATCTAAAGTAATTCATATGGCCGGCTCGACTGGAGTGACACCACAGCCTCACAGAAACCCGGTGTCAATTTATTTTTTCGATACTTTTCACTGAGTAAGAGAAGTTACCAGAGCCCCCACCCACCTTTTTCTGGTTCTAGGAGGGTTACCCAAAGAGCGGCAACGCATTTTGTGACTTTTGAGTTGCAGGTGTCTATCGGCGGCGGTGGTCACTTACGATCAGAGGCCCAAATGAAAAAGTGAGTTTATTTCACATCTACTGCATCATCAAGATGACCGTCACCGCTGCGGCCTGATGGTGGCTGATGGTCTGCACTAAAACCTGCACCAATCGCAACGCCGAACGCGCTCGCTGTCGAGAGCGAGCTGATGTGAAATAAACTTTCACTAGGCTCTCGGGTCCCCCATCCCACCCATCTGCACGTTTACCCCTATACAAAAAAAAAAAGTTAAATAAAGTTTATGAAAAATTCTCTTACTCATACTTTTCAGAAAAATAATATTTTCGGACATCTGATACACAACGCCATCTAGTTTTAAACTGAACTCAGCTTGTAATATGAAAGCTAGATTGACTGATAGAATACTTATATACTAAAAAGAACACAAAGACTGTAACACTTACTTTAATTTCCAACCCTAACCTTTATCTGTTTATCGCATAATTGAGGTTTATTGGGTTCATTGTACTAATGACGAAAATAAATCAATGTTTTCAGACCAGGACGGCGCCGAACCTTCAGGCAACAGTGTGTCTTGTCATAACCTTCTTCGTCTAGCCGCTTACGCAGACAAGAGCTCTGCGCCAGAAGGTGGTGAATCAGAGAGGGAGATGGCCAAGAAAATATTGCAGACTTTCTCTAAGAGACTTACCACGTCGCCTACTTCGCTGCCAGAAATGATGTCTGCACTGATGTTCTATAATGACTCTCCTACACAGGTCTGACGTCATATGATATATTCAATTTAATTTATATTAAAACAAGGGATCGCAATCGCGTCAGTGCTTGAAGTAAATACTAGTAATAAGTCTTTTGATCTCGCCATACATACTGACGATATTTGCAACTGCAGTTAACATAATATACATTTATGTCACACCGAAAGCGAGATAAGTCAAATAAATTACCCAGAAACCGCATTTTCATCAAGTTAATAGTAATAGGAGTAATTTATTGTTCTTGTATGTAGACCAAAATGTAACTACTAAGGAAAATACCTTCGGTATTGTTTAAATCGTCCGTGTGGTGACCGATTAACAATATGGAGTGTCACCACCCCTAATCATCCCGTGGGTATCGTAAGAGCCGTCTAAGGGGGCAAACTATGCGGGACCACAACAGTGCAAAGAGAAGGAAAACGGAAAAAGGAGGATTAGGCCAAATCTGGCAAAATCCTCCTTTCTAAGAAGAGGCCTAATGTTTAGCAGTGGACTATTAAAAGTGAGGATGATGATGATATTTTAAATATTTGTAGAATGTCGAAAGCTCTTTTACAAGGTACATTTCATCATGCTTTAAACTTATTAAGCTCTATTGATTGATGACATACAGAAGGCAAATTACTTCTTTGTACAAAGCTTACAAAGAATTTTTAAACAAATATGGTCAACAGAAGCAATATTTTGTTTAATAATGTTAATGTTTACATGTAAAAGATGTATGTATGTGCAAAAAACTAAATTTTAAAACAATATGTGCTATAAATTCGAATATTATGTAAAAACCTTTACATAAACCTAGGGCCAGATTACCCATTAGGCAGAATAGGCAACTGCCTAGGGGCCCCGCATCGGTTAGGGGCCCCGAGCGGCCCAAACAAGTATTTTTTTACATAGTATAATAATAATAATAATATTCTACCACATTCACACAACGCCATCTTGTCCCAAACTAAGCAGAGCTTGTACTATGGGTACTAGATAACTGATATAAATACATATATACTTTTGTAAATATATACTTATTATACATAGAAACATCCAGACCAAATCAAACATTAAATGTTCATGCACACAAATTGCTTGACTTGAGCGGGAATCGAACCCGTGACCTTTGGAATAGCAGTCCGTTACACAAACCACTACGCAATTCGGTCGTCCATTACGTATTGAATGCATTACGTATTGTATAGAAATACAATTTTTGACATGCTGGACTTAGACTAAGAGGATGCGGAGATTACGAGGAAAGATAAAATTGTACCTGTCGAGGAGTCGTTTGAATTACAGAATTAATAAGAAAACAAAAGTACATAATAAATATACAGAAGTTATCATAGTCACATAAGAAAATAAAAACTGTCTTCGTTCGTCAATGTCTTTAAACCGTAAAAAATTGTTGTCGAAAATGGTGGATTAGAAAAAGTCAACTTTCATATATATCGTTATGAACGATTTTGTATTCGCAAAAGTTAATGTTTAAACTTTATGTACCTGAGAAAACTATTTTCTTTCGATGTATTGATTTAAACTACCATGGTCGTTTTCACTTGACAACTTCCTGCACTATTCACGCGTTCAGCGTCATGATTACGGATGAACTTACAACAGCGCCGAAATATCAGACACTTACACACAGTTTTCTATTTCCCTGCAATCCCCGTATCCTTTAATTGATCAATCATTACAAAAGTTTTGTTGTTCATAAAATACGTACTGAATCCATATTATTAGTTCTACTACTCGATACTATTCTAGATGGAACCATCTACAACATGTCCATTAATACCTGCAGAAGAAGTAAGCCCAAATGAAAAACTTTTGCTGTAAGTTCCTCAAGCGTTAAGCATCAGCAAAGTGATGCTACTGATGCTATTGTGATTTATAAGTAATATATAAATCACAACCCTTCTTCCACTAACAAAGAGCTGATAATCTTCCGACGGGCGAAGAGGGGCCCCGAGGATTGCATTGCCCAAGGGCCTCGACATGGTTAATGCGGATCTGCATAAACCTATAAGATAACAGTATATATTTTGTTTGTCGTGGTACTAAAGTAAACAATGACTGTTCAAATTATACTGGTCATTTAAATAAAACATTATAAACGACGCCTAGGCGATCCCTAGTTCGTTTAAATATGTATACTATGAACAATATGATCACTGAGAAATAATTGTTTGATTTATCAGTTAATAACTAATATTAGCAATAGTCCACCTATGCAAGAAAAAACCTACAGCTCATCTGTACATACTTCATTATTCGTTTCATTTTTTTATCCCCTCTATTCTCTTCTGCATAAAACCCATGAACTTATTACAGTTAATCGGGACCACAGCCTATGAACCTTACCAATGAACTATTTTGAACTCTAAATGTCTAATCTTTTCACTGAATACCATGTTACAGGTGCTTATCGCAGGAGGTTTTACAGACCCTCGTACTTTAGAGCTGGTACATGTGGTACGATCGCGGCTGTTGCCCGGCCGAGTGCTGTGCGTGGCGGACCCGACAGAATCGCCCGCCGGTATGTCAGATATACGTGAGTTTGGGCTCTGGTAACGCTTTCAATCTATTCGCTTCAAAATAACCATTTCAATACTGATATTATAGACGGTATCAAAACCAAAATTTCCTTCATCAAGTAACTAAGGTTATCACTATACCAATAAAAGCCAATGTAATAATTATTATGGTTAGTAAACTCACATGTAAAATTAAATGTCTGTTTAACAAAGTCCATCTTTAAAATTTTCACGTTATTTTTATTGGTAGATTTTTACTGTGTTTATGACAATATTTAAACTCAAAATTTACATCTCTATTCTATGACTTAGGCCCGTATTTTAAAAGACGTCTCAAGTGTCGGTTGAACTCTGATTGCCTGAAACTAGTTTTAAGTGCAGATCAAATCTTAAGTATCGATCTTATTATAGAACGCGTTTTAAGTTTTACTCAGTTGAAACTAGTTTCAAGTATTGATTTGAACTTACAGTCTGTTCTCAATTACGTTTCCGCGTGATTGACACTATTATTCCACATTACGCAGCTAATTATTTAAAAAATAATTTTCTTTTACAAAAATAATTTCTTTGAATTTGTATATAATATACTATTGCCTAGTGTAGCAATGTTAACATATTAACAAGGTTGTTGTTCGTTCAAAATTAAGTATAATAAATATTAAAATAAAAATGACTAGCTGTATGAATAGGCTATAACGGAACGTTCAAGTTATTTATCAACACTTGTCATGTTAAAATGTCAAACGATGTTTTTATTTGCTATTTCTAAAATTTAAATTACTATACTTTTAACATAAACCAAAAGGTTGTGGTAATTTAAACTGGTATTGTGTGTGTAAAATGTGAATTTTGGTGAATTTCATATCAATTAAGGTAAATGAAAGTGAAATTGATGATAGTATGCCAAGTAATTCTTTCGTAAATAAAGTAAAGTAAATCTTTTGTAATTATTCAAAAAGAAATCATCGTAAAACACATTCATTTCCCCTAAATGCCCTAGAAATCACCGCTTGAGACTAGTTTCAGCTTGTCTCACGTAAACAAAGATCACAGCTGTCAAAATCTATACCTGAGTAATGATTTCGACATAAACATCGTTCTAAAATAAGCTATCACTCACTTGAGTATGGATCGGTGAATCTCGTTTTAAGTGACGTTCAATAATAAAATCTCTACTTAAAATTAGTTTTAAGACTAGATTCACGACTGAGACACCTTTTAAAATACGGGCCTTAATGTTCAATAACTAGTAATTGGCTTGCAGGTAAGGCACGAGACTTTCTGGTAGGCCAAGGCCAGGTGTATCGATGAATATCGAATATTCTTATTAAGTTGAGACTGGTCAAATCTCATCTTTTTCGTGCATATTTGGGCAGCTAAGTCAATCATTGACACACACACACTATAAGCTTTTATAACTTTTTTGTATCGTCATAATAATATTATGATAATTTCTTATTAAAACCGCAATGAATACCATATATACCATATTGTTTTGTTTTTATTTTACAGTATTGAGCCGCATCAGGTCCGTAGGAGATGTTCCTACGGCATATGTATGTCGCCGCTACGCCTGCTCGCTGCCCGTAACAGACGTTAAACAACTGGAGAACCTTCTCGACGAACCGACAACTGTAACAACCCCTTCCGCTAAGAAATAAAAATAACTACGTAGACTTCTTCAGATCTGCATATCTGTTCACCATATTACTTTGAAATTATTTACTTCCATTATAAACATGACAATCAATTGTCTGATACGTTGCTAATAAATAGGTCTTACTATAAATAGGCAGAATGAATAACATAAACAATACTACAGCCATAAGAATCAAACTAGCCCGCAACGAAATTCGTACTAAGCACAGCAATGAGCAACACCGTTTATGTTATTTTAACCCTGTTCGTCAAATCATCAAGCCACTATTGTTTTAAACTATTTGCCAATCGTTTGTTATTCTTCCATTATATTGTTGTTTACTTAACAATCGTACCACCACGTCGTTCCTACTGGGTGAACTGAATTTATCTTAAATATGGAGACATCTCACATACTTCAAATATACAGTCCTATTAAAATGTTAGCTAAAACTAAACTTGTAAAAATTTGTCATTGTCATGTCAATTTTTGCTTTGTTTTCACATATTATTAATGATTTTATAATGTTATTGAATTTAAAGTAAATTTGGTATTGTAAACAGATATGTAAGTATCAATATTCATAAAAAAATACTTGCTACTTACAATTTATGCAAATCTGAAGCTCATTAAAGTAGCCATATAATGATCACTTGTTTGATTGATAGCAGTCGTTAGAGACTTGATCTACATAACTAGTGATAGCATCTATTTCTTAAAATGTATTATGGCAACTTAATATCTCTTACAGATCTTACTTAATACTGTAACTTATTTACAATTCTCAACTAACACTAACTGTAGGAATATAGCTGACTACATCGAATATAAAATTATTTAAATCTTTGAAGAAAATCTCTAGAAATTGGAATGTGTGGTCTGATTTAAATGTGATAGTGTATTGTACCTATAATATGTTTTTCGTTACGTATATATCATTAAGTATATATCGTTACGTATTATTTTGTGTGTGAAATAGACGCTAGAAATTAGCTTAGAGCAAAACTAAAAAAAGTCATTTTTTTTGTTATGTAGTTGTATATATGCATATTTAACTAACAAAGATGCATTAAATAATTTATTGGAAACCTTATTTACCGCTCGCTGGGAGAAAAAAAAAATTAATTTGTGATATTTTACATTTAATATATATAATGTTATTGCATTGTGAGTTTCATTTCTTCCTGCATCAAAAAAAAAATCCTGAATAAAAAGTTCGTACCTTATTTATAGTTATATTTTTGGCTATTACCCTACTGTACATACTAACTCGTTTTTTTCGTTTAAAACCGTGTAGGTACAGCCTAAAGCCTGTTTTTTTAGCTTTTCATTTCAGTTAATATTTTGTATTTCAATACTTTAAATTTTGACGTGTAAGCTGCCCTATTTTGCTTGTTTATTTTAATTTAATACCATTTATTTAACATTACATTTCTATTATTTATGAGTGAAAAAATCTTTCATTAACCTGAATTAGAAGCAAATTAACATTAGATCATTAAACATGTCATTGTTATAACAGCAAGACAAGCAGGTGATAGAAGTGAAGAGTTGAGATATGCACTATTTTAATCAATTACCGACTCGATATTAGATATATATAGAGGAATATCCTGAACTAAGCCAAGCTGGGGAGGTTATCCCCAGCAGGGCCACCTATAAACGCTTCTATCTTTTGAACCAGTGACCGACAAATTCTGATATTTTTCGACAAATTCCGACTAATTAGCAACTAAATTTGGGCGAAAACAGATCTTCTCTAGGTGCCCTAGTTTTTGAGATACAAGCGTGGCCAAGCTGAGGTGACTGACCCCATCATTGCATCCTATAAACGCTTATAACTTTTGAACCAGTAACATACAAATTCTGATATTTGGTAACAAATTTAGACTAATTAGCGACTAAATTTTGGTGTTCTCAGTGACACAAATAGGTCACAGGATTATGACAGCTAAATTTAAAGATTTAAAACGGGTCCGGTGGGTAAGGCTTGGCTTTCTACGGGATTTCATCGGCATGCCGCGTCATATCAAAGTGCCGTGCCATGACGTCAGTCAGCACTGGCCTTTATATGTAAGAATATGGTGGCATAGTCATGATAATGATTTGGTATCATATAAGGGTGTCTGCACAGAGCCCTTTGCTAAGGTAATTTATGTCCATTCTATATTGAAGGTGCTATTGGTTGGCATCTTTGACGGGGCTGGACGATGCATTTATAAGAAACTAAAGTAATAAATAACCGTAACACATTTTTTAAATTCTTTATTTCCACAGTGATAGTTTCCATACATACTGCGTATGACACCAATAGTAGACATAACGGTAAGTTAGTAACTTGAACATTCAACACCAATTCTATAAACATGGGATGTCGGGTATCTACTGGGGATTTATACGCATGTTATAGACTGGAGGAAATAGGGTACACCGATTTATAGTCACAACATTGGGTACATTTATATTTTATTCCGTAACATCGATTATGATAGAAAAGCAATGGATTTTTATAAATTAAAATAATAATTTTACATAATTGATCATTCAACATCAGTATCTTTCAAATACATAAAATTAATTAAATTGTCAATTTTCATTAACTAGTCTTGATTTTGCTAATCTATTTTGTGAGACTTAATTTGTCATTAATGCAAGACAATGTCGCCTAAAACTATTTACTTTTGATCGAATATTTATAATTGAAGACAAACAAAAATCATTATTACATAATAGTGACATTGTGTCTCTATATCACATCATTATCATAATTATGGACTAATGTTAGACAGTTGATTAGGCTCGGATCCAAAACACTAAATTAATATTAAATGCAAATAAATCTGTTTTATAATATTAGCAAATAACGAAAAACATAAGGGAGTTAATATCTTAAATAAGGTATTTAAGGTAATGTGGAATTACTGAAATTCCAAATGATATGCATAAAAATATAGGAAATTTAAAATCTAACAATAAGGGAATGTCATTTGTAAATCAATGGCGTTTGAAGCTGTGATTCGTCATTTGCTAGTACCTCCAAGCATACATTAAATCAAACAAAACTATATCTACTTTCAGAAATGTAAATTCATACAACTAACTACATTTAATACAAGTCATAAATATTAAAATATCACATTAAGCTAATGTCAGTTCAGTCATAGGTTACGAACTACTTAAATCCATCTATGCTAGATAGACATGAGCGAAATATAACAAAAAAAAGTCACTCCGCACACATGTATACACTGATCCATGTGTTGAAATTGCAAAAACATAACATTTTATAAATAAAACAATGCATGGACATTTGTGTGTAATAAATGAAAGAAAACACGTCATCATCCTTGTTTATAAAGACGTAGCGGGGGCAATTATGTCATAGTTTTTTAACGGACCATGTCGTCATGATAAAATCTCTAAACATAGAGCTGACCCGAGACTGAGACAGTGTAGTTAGGTTGCGCTCATGTGTATTTAGCCTTACATAACATACAAGCAACATCAACACATCAGAATTACCAAACATTTCTTTTAAAGGTTTATGTGAAATGCAAATAAAAGATATACAGCGAGGTAGATTGAAATGTTTGTTCTCTATACGACCAAAGTTATATTAAACATAATTTGATACATACACAAACATAAGATTATCTTGTCCTAGGAATGATACGCGCATGGCGTTACTAGTAATATTGAAAAAATTATAGTCATAGTGATAAGATTATTATCTGATAATACATTTGATTTTGTTATTTTGGAAAAGTATACATTCCATAGTTTGATAATAGGTCAAATATTTCGCATACACGCTGTAAAAAAATTCGGTTTACAATCTAGTATGTACGTTACCACAGTAGTAATACATATAAAAAGACAAAACCTTTAAAGTCTTGATAGTTACAATTGAATTAAAGCCTTTTTAAATCTGGTAGTAGAAGGTTGCAAAGACAGGTTTTGTATTTTCTAAATATACTATTTTTGTAATTTATTTATAACACAAGTCGCTCCACGATAACACGCACTTGCATGTATAACGCTCAGAGAAATAACTGTAAACCAAATTTATTTACAGCGTGGACTCGTCAAGCTGTATTTATATTACGTACTAAATAATTATACTATTTTGTAAGTGATACAGTCAACAGCTATAATTTGTAGTGAAAATGTACTAGTTAACTTTCAAGTCAAAGTCGAAAACTAAAGTCAATTTGATGAATTTTCTATAGCTATAGCTCAATAAAGCTTTCACGTCGTAGTTAGAGAAGTGTCGAGAAGTACATAGTGTATAAGATTATTTTATCAATCGTGTCAACTATTGAGTTTTTATATGTTAATATTACATTAAAGCTTAAAACTAACAAATTCGTGAATGATTCCGCAGAAAACATCGAACATTAGGATCATAGAGACATCCTTTAAACATCTACTCTAATATCACGAGGGAGAATGAATTTTTTGTTTTAAAACAAAAATTAACACTTTTTGTAAACATAAGAAAATGAAACATCTGATAGGAGACGCGGTGGCATCAGATACAAGTAGTGACTGACGTAGTTTGCGGTGAAGGCGTTGGTTGATTTAAGAGACTTCGCAATCATATTCCAGGACAGTCTTGTGGTAGAAGAGCAAATACCTGAAAAGTAAAAAAAATATTAACAAGGAATGAATTGAAGGGGGCCTCCGAACGTCGAAGTCGCCCCTAATATTTGTTTTCATGGGTTTCAATCTTAATTTAGAGTCTGTTTAAATTAAATGAATTATAAATAATATCTTGACTTTACGATAAATTGCGTTTAATATCTACCGCCAGTTGAAGTTTTTTTTTGAACTGAAAACCTGTTATTAGTATAATAATGTAGTATCATAAGTTATCACACTTACCCTTCACTATCTAAAACTTCACGCAGCGAGGCGCGTGTAATCATGTGGTCATCACATTTAAACCAGTTTCCTTTCATCTGTCGCACATAAGCTGTGTAGTGGCCAGCGTCTAAGGATCCAAGATGGTTTACGACAGCAAACAGCGAATAACGGTTGTCTTCGAATAACCCTTCCGGGGCATTATTGTTATCAACTCCTACATCCACAGCACGGCGATGTGACGACATAAATGGTGTCATGTCCAATTCAGCGGGAAAAGACACAAATGCGGATATTTTCCTGTCAATTTGTGATGAATGTTCAAAGCGCTTCAAGTGAAAGCTGGCAACAATTGGAAGAGTTTCTAAGGTCAATTGCTTGGTAGATTCACGGTAGGCTCGGCAATTTGAGCACTTTATTTTTGCTGCTGAGCCAAGATGTTCCGCCCGTGTAAAGCGCTCCAAGCAAGCTTGAAGCGAGCCAGGTCCGGCCACGTCGAGACTAATGTCCCAGAAGGGATCGATTGTAGTGGATACTCCTGAACATGAGGTGCAAACCACATCACTTTGGAGGCCGCCAGTGAATATTTGGTCAATGATGCAGTTGCAGCGGCCGTTTTCGGGTTTTTCAACATTTCCTTCAACGCCATTCATGCAGTGCCTGAAAATAGCATACAAACAAGTATTTTATCGCTAGTTTTAAATATGTTGTGTCATGGCACTGACTTAAGTGAATAAATAATATTAATACGATTTTAATTTAACAAAATTCTTGCGACTTGACATTGAAAACTGTTATTATAAAATTACAGAGTACGGGCCTCCGTAACTATCTACTAAAAGATAGTTTTGTAACGGTCATTGACTGGAAGCTTGCCTGGTGACAATCAATGTTTTTTTATGAACACAAGATTACATGTTTATATTTTATTAATATCACTGACTTAAGAGTGTAGCTTTCTACTTGCAAAATAGATTTAAAACGTTTGAAACAATAAAGGACGGACGTATAAAAAACTCAATTTTCCCTATATATTGAATTAGATATTGCATTAATATGAGAACTATTTCATATATACGTTAGGACGTATACGTATTTAAAACCCTAACTTTAAAATGCTTGAATGGTGGTTTTAGATTTTTCTAATCTTTGTACCGAACTAAATATAAGTACCTAAAAACTAACTCGATTCACAATAATCTTCGTTTATCGTAAAAACTATTGATATTATTTAAAACGAAATCTAAAAGTCAAAGGTTAGTAAGGAAAGTCAAATATAAAAATCAAATCGTCCGAGACTCATGGATTGAATTTTCGTACACATATTTATTTTTGTTACAGAACAAAACAGGGACTTAATATTAACAATAAACAAACCTATGGAGTACGTCAAGGGTTGCGATGAAAAATTCATGAGCATCCTGCTGCTCGTATCCGGCCAAATGGCGCGCATGTGTCCATATCAAATGTAAGAGACGATGCAGAGTTAAAGGTGTTTTTGCACCGGAATAGAACTCCTAGAAAACAAAAGAAATAAAAAAAACAGTTTAAAAAATCAAACAGAAAAACTCCGTATAAATATGCAGAACAGGTTATTGATTTAAAGGTCATTATAAAGCGATGTCTGTGCGGATGTATTTATAGACGCTCAAGCTTGAATTATTAAGCACAGTTCGCTGGAAGGGACGGATATGATTGCGTAAGACGATTTCATGCAGTTGCTTACCTGAAACAGTTTGGAAACTTCGCAAACCAGGCATTTACTTGATCCCTGGGCTTTACATTTATGCTTCTCACCCAGGAAATAGTCGCGTAGTAACGGGGTGTGAATTAGAGTCTGAAAGCAATTTATTTTGTTAGAGGATTATAATATATATTATGTAGTAGGTAATAACCGTATATTTTCAGGTACAGGATTTTAATATGGTTTAGACTCGAGTAACATATTTTTAACCGACTTCAAAACAAGAAAACAGTTCTTAATCTGAGGCATCTTTTTGTGTTTGTGACCTGTTTTTTGTTTGTTACATGATGTATAATGTGTATTACTCTATTAATAATGAGATCCTAGAGAGAGAGAACTCTTCAAATATTATAGTCGAACCTATAGCGCTTTGGGTATTTTTAAAAGAACCTCGTTTGCTGAACCTATAATGAAGACCACGAATGTCTACCGGAACTATTCATTAATAAGTTATTCAGTAACAATTTATGCTCGTTACAATGCAGTTTGTCGATCGGCTTTCAATATTGCCAAAGTGAAAATAATAGAAGTTATTGAAAACGGCAGTAAAATTAATTAATCAGACAGGTTAGTAACAGTAGAACGCCTCGAAAGTTAACATTACTGTTTTGCGTAAGCAATATTTTGTATAAGGTGACTAACAGTTACATAGTTCTTGTAACTAAATAGATAAATTCTACCTCTAAGGCGAAAAATTAAAAGAGGAATAAATCAGTTCATTACATTTTATCGTGATTTAGGCACATTGTAGTCAGTTGATTTTTTAAATAATCTAATGATTAGATAAGAACATTATAATTTACTTAAAAAATTACGACGAAGACTTGTAGATAGACCGAAATCGATTTGTAATGTTTACTAATAAATCACTGCTTAGCAACCAATGACGGGCTAATTTTAATAACATGTTTGCGAGCTACATATTTTTAGTTATTTGTAGACGTAAATAGGATGTACGAGTATTTGTTTTTATTTTAATGTGAGTGACATAATGGTGCGTTATCTATAACAATTTTAACAATGACATAATTTGGTGAACTGTTATTCAATCATTTACTGCTGACTTACTTTTGACCGTGACTTCGTCCGCGTGGTGGTCATTATTTTTGATAGAGAATATAATTATACTGAGAGTTTGGAATCGATAAGTTACAAAAAAGTTCTCATACAAAGTTGCAGCCTTTTTTGAGGGTAGTTTTTAAAAATGAGTATTTTTTTGCTTTTAATAATGACTGAAGAATGAAATACTGTAAGTTTGAAAACGATACTACTAAAAATAACGAAGTTTCAACCCCCATTTTGGACCCTTACGGGTGGCATTTTTAAAAATCCTTTCTTAGTGCACACTTACGTCACCTAAGGGACATTTGTGCAAAATTTCATACTTCTAGACCCAGCGGCTTCAGCTGTACGTTGATCGAGCAGTCAGTGAAACAGTCTGTCAGTTTCTTTTTTTATAGATATAGATAATATTGTTATTGTTAAATCATCAACATCAACAAATTTGGGCCGGCTCAACCGAAGTGATACGAGGGTGCGTTTTAAGTTCGCGGAATGAGAGGGTTGGAGGGGGGTGATTAAGCTCATTAGAATCGTCACGTGTTCAGTGACTCATAATTAGTATAAATACCAGGTTTCATTGTTATTAGACAATTAGTCTTTGAGTTATCGTCAACCAAGCAACATAATCGGGAGTGAAAAGTGAAACATGGAAAAAAATCGAATATCGTGCCGTTATAAAGTTCCTTACCAAGCAAGGAAAATCAGTTGCGACCATAATGAATGAGATGTCATTGGTTTACGGCGACTCTTGTCCAGGAAAAACCATGGTGTACAAATGGCACAGTTTATTTAAACAAGGAAGGGAATCCCTTGAAGACGACCCGAGGCCGGGCAGGAGCATCGAGGTGATCACGCCAGAACTTATCCAAAAAGTCGAAAAAATTGTACTCGACGATGCTCGACTAAAGAAGAAACAACTCGCAGAAATGGTTGGAATATCTGATACAAACATTTTTAGAATTCTGCACGATCATTTTGGCATGACAAAGGTCAGTGCAAGATGGGTGCCGAGAATGCTTACGCCGACGCAAAAAACAACAGCGCATTACATTTTTAGACCTTTGTAATGAAAACAAGGATGCTGTATTGAGTAGAATTGTTACTGGAGACGAAACTTGGGTTCATTATTATGAACCTGAGTCGAAACAAGACTCCATGCAGTGGCATAAAAAGGGCACAGCACCTCCCAACAAGTTTAAGGTGTTACAGTCAGCTGGGAAACTCATGGCAACGGTCTTTTGGGACTCAGAAGGAATATTATTGATCGATTATAAAGATAAAGGTGTTTCTATAACCGGAGAATACTTCGCTTTAATATTAGAGCGACTCAAAGAAGCCAATAAAGAGAAAAGACGGAGAAAATTGACAAAAGGTGTGTTGCTTTTGCACGACAACGCGCCCGTCCACAAGAGCCGCGTTGCGTTGGCTGCCCTGCATAAGGTGGGCTTCGATATTTTGAATCACCCACCCTACAGCCCAGACCTGGCCCCCAGCGATTATTACCTGTTTCAAAAAATGAAAAAAGAGCTGCGGGGTAAAAAATCTACCAACGATGATGAAGTCAAGGAGGCAGTTTCTGCGTATTTTACAGACAAGGAGAAAACATTTGAAGATCTGAAAAATGTATCCGTCTTGCAGGTGAATATATTGAAAAGGAAAAATAATTTGGTTTTTTTATTTCCATCCCTTATCCCCCATTCCGCGAACATACAAAACGCTCCCTCGTACCATGGCCTCACAGAAAACTGTTAGAGCGGTTTCGCAACACGTCCGATCCGAATTCGTGAAAGTACGGCCGAAGTAGTTTTAGAACTATTCCTATGGTGGCTTACGCACTAGAGCCGACTTCCGTCATCCGATTTCTTTGCGTGATCAAAGTAAATCTCCATTCCAGGCAAGATTATTAACGGATGAAAGTCGCCATAGTATTATTTATATGAACGCACCCAGAATTCTTTACTTGGTCTTGTATCGTTCGTACGTACAATAGCATTGCCAGAAACTGACGCCGATCGAAAGGACTCATATTCAACGACGTGAACACTGCGCGTAAAATGACTTACACCAACCTGTTACGTGACCACTGAATTGCTTGGATTAGAATCAGAGATCGCAAACGTTAACAAAATACGAATTCAGTCAGTCAGTCACCCTTACAAAGTTACAAATCCGTAATCACGTCACGGATCAGAAATTGGAGATAGTACGAAAAGCAATACCTATTCGAATTCAGTCCGAGGATCGGACGTAATACGAAACCGCTCTTAAGAAATTCTTTCGTGGCTTTTCCCCAAGTGAGCGAGGTTCCCCAACCCCAAACCACTCCTCCGATAGTGATAAGGATGAATGTTGAAGGAGCGATCATGTTGTTGTTTAGTTTCATTTTTACATAATCGTTTAATCTTCCTTAATTTCGACGAGACAGTAGTTAGGATACTGTGGAACGAGACAGTACTTTGGAACTGTTAACGCGAGTGTCGAAAAAAATCGAAACCAGCGTTTGAACGATCTCAACACAAAGCGTCAAATGCGCAAAACTAGGCCCAGGACCTCGTACAACTACACACTAAACTCGGACGGCCAGCTCTTCTGTGCGCAATGCAAACGGACTTTCCAAACAAAGTTCGGTTTTTCAAGACATATCAGATGGGCATACATATCATATGGGCTCTGGCCCATTACAGGGGAACCCAGGCTGAAAACGCAGAAGTCACCATCACCGGATACGGTGTGGATTTTTATATATACTTAGGATACACGTAAAAGATTTAAGAAGATAAGCTTACATATTAATCTATTATTTATTCTAAGCTAATGTGCCTCTCCACCGCTTATTTGAATGTATGTATGTATAAAATGTACAATTTTTTTTCCAAGGTTATATTCGCAAACCTACTTAAGCATAAATAGGCACTTAAACTTTAATACCTAGTTCATTCTTCTTCTCAAAATTTTATATTCATTTGATTTTTAACTAAGAAGGTACATAACGTGTAAAAGACACATTGGAAATATCTATTAAGTATACAAAATCCGTGCGCAGGTAACAAGTCATTGAGGACGACACACAAGAAGATCTACTACAGTATTTATCTTATTTATTGTATTAAATGTGCTTTTCACTCCAAGTATCTTTGTCATAATTACGGAATATACCTAAGTAATGACAGAATACATACAAAGCCAGAGATAATTTACGTAGAACTACTCACTAAGGATAAACTCGACGTACTGCATTGCAATGCAAAAAAAGGACTTAATTCCTACCAGTATGATTGCATATCGAATATTTACTGTACTGTACACAACCCGTTAGTTGCTCTCAATGGAACTTATAAAATAACACTGCACACTACTGCGCAGATCGAGTCCAGTAAATGTATATAGGTACAGGATTTCAGACAGCGCCGCTTTAATACTACCTACCGGTTTTGAGTTCATAGTATCTTTGAAGTTTTAATTGTTTTATTTGATTATTCGTTTATTTAACAAGATTTTTTATGGTAAGCGCAGTCCCGATGCCTAAGTACGTTGTCCGTTTATCTAACTAAGCTGTGACCGAAAGCCCTCGATACAATTACGTTTCACTTATAAATATATTTTTGATACATTGTCATAAAGAGGAGGACAACCTTATCGGTAAGAACAACACACTATTTCAAAGTGGTGTGCAAATACATTTTTCTTCAATTTCTTGTCTTAATACCCTCACCCTCACCCTGTCTTAACTTTCATAAAACTCCGAAATCTTCACAGAAGAAGTATAATTGAAAGAGCTGTAACTTCATTATTCAATAGAATGCTTAATTTTACAATAAATACTACAGAAAGCAATTGTTGCACCGTTATTGGACATTCTTTTGGAGAGTGAGACTAAGCAGTCGTAATCATGTTAAGTGGTCGTCACGACTTGGTAAATTTAAAAATTGGTAAAAAGGCAATTACTTATAACAAACCTTTATAGATGTTAAGAATATTTTGACGACTAGTTAAACAGAATATAGGTTGAATAAAGAAATGTGTGTGGATCTACTTTTCATGGAATTCTTTTTTCCAAAAATAATATAATAACCTCACACATCTCAAGCTTGTGTTAGGAGAACCAAACGGATGTTTTACCGCGGTCGAAACCTTCTGCGAGGAAGTAATCTCGCAGAAGGAGGCGGCGGCGGCGGCCCGGGAGGACGACCTCCACTCCGGCGAACCGGGCGGCGGAGGCGCGCTTTTCACCGCCTCATGCCGCCCTGAGTGTGGCCGCGGGTGGACGGGGTGGGTTTCCCCTCCACCCGCATTAGTTTGGCCAGCTGCGAGGGGGCGACGTCCGCGTGTGCCGGACGTCGCCTAAAGAGAGGAAAATTTTGAGACGGAGCCCGCAACAGGAGCGGGCCGGCGCTAGGAGGGGTCCGGATGTCTTAATAACAGCTGTTCCCGGATCCCTCCTATTACAGGCGCAGAGTGGCACACCGTGTGGTTTTAGTCGGTCCGAGTCCGACACACCACCCCGCCGCAAACCCCGGTGGGGTGACGGTCAGAGGGGATTACCACACGTTAAAAAAAAAAAAGGATAACCACACGGATGATAAACATACTTATATATTTCGAAATACATACATATTACCTCACCTGAACAATGCAATTCATGAAACAAGTAGAGCCAAGGTTCTGCAGACCGCGCAACCCTATGGTTGTATGAACGCTGATGAGGCGGCGCTTGCGAAGACGCCGTAAAGCCATAGCTTCGTTGCTGTTTGGCAGCCATGGCATAAATGGCATGCTAATACCTAAAGATCTAAAAAAAAGGAAACAGACTATTTATTAGAATTTATCTCAAATATTAAAGATGCTATGATATCCAGACTGCTTATAAACATAGTCATCTATTTCTAAATGCATACTTTTATAGATAATTATAATGTGTTCATCACACATTTAATTGTCTTGGGTGGGAATCGAACCCATAACCATTGGCTTAGAAGTTGGGATCACTAACCACTAAACTAGCAGCCCGTTTAAATTATATATACATAAACCAGCATTTGTTATTTTAGTAGTAAAATGTAAAGACTCCATAAAAAGGACTTACTTGGCTTGTTTTAGTTTGTGAGCCATGGCAATTTCAGTTAATTCCCGGTCATATATGTAGTCCTGGCACTGCCCGCAAAATATATTTCCATAGCTAAGGTCAACATACAGGAAATGTTTCTTAGATTTAGAATGTTCCTGAATATGGCCACCGTAGCAAGCAAAGTAGATGCAATGTAGGCAGGAATGCATACGGGGTCCAGGTTGACCGCAGGTAAAGCAAAGGCATGATGTTGCCTGAAAATATATTTGTATCTAAGTTGTGAAGAACCACCTTGATGTAGCAATTGACTATTCAAATAATTTAAAAGTTCATATTTTTAAATATCATAATATAATACTTGTTTATTGAACACATTTCCATGTATTATTTTGTTGTGTAAATCCTTAAAAAAGACAACAAAGATACTATAAAAGATAGCAATAGCGTAAACAGTCGAGGGTTAGAACCCCACCTAGTACAATACTAATAAAGTTAAAAAGGTCATTTTATTATTTTAAGGTTATTTATATACATTAATATATAATTAGCTAATTGTGTGAAAGTACACTGTTCTATCTATCTCTATACATCCATGAAATCCTGCAACCCTCTCTCCAGAATTAAAAAATTGCATCAGAAACTGTTGTCCTGTAACCAACATCTTGATAAAAATGGATAGGTTTATGAAAATAAGTTAAGCAAAATAAAAGTATTTTTTATAACGTTCCATCACTTTTTATAATGATAATTCTCACTATGTTGAATTAAACTTAGTTTAAAACTATTATATTCACCAATAACACCAAAAAATTTATACATCCATCATTAAGCACAAATACGTAATAAGTAACTTATATGCGTTAATATGCTCGATCAGAGCCATGATTCAGTCACGCGACAACGACATTGCACTCGAATGCTACAAACAGCTGTTGTGGGGTCAAAGATCACTAATCAGCTGATCATAAATTGCATTTTTTAGTAACAAAACCATACAATATTATGCTTATCACCTAAAAACATAATTACTAGGACCTGTAAACATAATCGGCAACGCTAAGCGATGTCATTCAGTCAATCTACGACAATTTGCGTCGCGTAAAAGGTCATTTATGTACAAAATACTTCGCCGTAGCTTGGTTACGTGAAATCTTACCTTGTATCTCCTTGCTTCGAACGAAGTGCATGACACAAAAAATGCATGTACGATTTTATAAGGGTTTGTACCCTTTGCTGCTTTAAAATTATTCAAGTGTATGCAACCATTGTCATTCATTATTTGGCTTGTAAAATACACCGGCTAGGCAATTTAATTCTCTTCAAACACCACAGATTTACAATAAAAACATTATATTGTACACGAACTCTGAATTCAATTTATTTGGTTTAATTTACTAGCAAATATTCTAAGTTGCTTCACGATTGAAGATCTTTAAATTAATTCGATGTAAAAATGAAACAGCATGAAATATAGGTAGTAATGGGGGCGTGTTCTTTACAAAATACGCAACAACGCAACTCCAAGCGCAGCTGACTACAGTAGAGGTCCACCAATAAATTAATTGTCAGAAAACAACGCCGAAGATTGTGATTGGTGCATCCGTATGGCTTATTTTCGATTTTGAAGTTGAAGTCACACACACACACTTGGATTGACTTGACATTGACATATCAGGTTTAAAACAGGACTAGTCACGAAAGAGAAAATAACCTAAAATACTTCCACCTATCTCAAAAAATAATGACATCAAAGCCAAAGCTTTGAGAGTATTTATGACCCTTCAAATTTTGCAAATAATATAATTTATGGAACATACAAAGACGAAACTGATCTTTAATGAATAATGAAAAAGAGGTTTGATGACTGTGAAGAGACTGCATATTATCCTACAACTTATCTATGGCTGTCGTTACTATAGTTACGTTTGACTGCTTAGAAGTTACTCAATTTTTCCTTGAATTCATTACGTATTCTTTAAATATTACATTATTATTGCCCTGTCTATTTAAAAGTGGTTCCACATTATAAAAGTTAACAATGACCAAAATCAGTAAGCACCTAAAACCCAGCACGCTCGAATCCGCTCAATGGGATCAATAAACTCAATAGTTTCGTCTCATTTCGCTTGTAACATTTTATATATCTGTGATCATAGATCAGACAATGATAAGTGCATTTTTGCTCAATACGACTTATTAATAAAGGTATAATCGCCAAAAAATGCTCTTTCATTTGGTCACATCAGGATAACTACATGCAAAATATTACTGTTGTATTGAATACTAATCAGATTATGATAACTTTCATATTTCAACTTTTGTTTTGGTCATATTGCGTTAAGTGATTTTATTTAGATCTGACCGAAAGGACAATGCGCTTTTTATTGATCAGAATATGACAAAAGCACACTTATCAACTTATGATCAAAAATTACTTGGTTAGCGGGAAACATGTCATAACGTGTCGTGTCACTATTGTTTCGCGTACCGCACATTTCATAGTTTATTGTTAGTTTTCGTTATTACGCCGGTAAAAGAACATTAAGATAGGTTATAATTACTGTTAAAATGATGAGTGCTCGCTGTAAGAAGTTGTTGGAGTTAGCTATGAGACAAGAAGATCCAGAGGTATGTTTATCATTATTTTGATTGTTATTTTATTCAAATCGCGTCAGTGTGCATTGCGAGAGTAAGTAGGCATTTTAGTGAGCAATATTGTAATAGTTGATATGACTGTTTGTGCCTAGTATATTATATAAAATACTGGCACCCGGGCCTAACGTTGTTTTTTTTCATTTTAGGATTTAGCTGTGAAACAATGTATGAGAGAACGTACTCCATTAGCTCAGAAGGATATCTTGCAATCTTTGCCCGGCCCGTCGGGTAGTCAAGTAGCTCAGCAGGATATTTTGTCATCTCTGCCCGGTCCGTCAGGTACTGCCATAGCTCAGCAAGATGTTTTGCAATCTCTACCCGGCCCATCAGGTAATCGAGCTAATAGTTCTGATCGTACTTCTCTCGGTGAAGATTATAGTTCTGATGACGATGTGCAGGATTGTAATTGGTTACCTGCTGGTACACATGTAGAACACGTCTCATCATCGTCATCTAGCAAGACATCTACCCCTAGAAGCATTAGAAGCATTGCGGTCCCAGCATTGGTTTCTCAAACACAGGATGACGTTAGAAGAAAAAGGAAGCGTGTATCGGTATGATGCAAAGAAAACTCCGTAAAGAAAGAACAGAAAAAATTAAAAAGGGGGAAGAATACATAAATCAAGCTGGGAAAAAAATATTGCGTAAATCTGTAGGTGTACTAAAAGAATGCAGATTAAAATGTAAAACAAAATTTACGAATACACAATTACAAAGAGTTTTTGCGGATTATCGCGCTATGGAAACAAGAGATATGCAACGTTTACATTTGAGTAACCATATATTATTAACACCGCCAATTAGAGTTAAACAGGTTGAAATCAAAAAGAAAAGAGAAGTAGCTGTAGAGTACTTTATTGAAAATGAAGGTAATTTAGTAAAAGTTTGTCAAAACTGTTTTCTTAACGTGTATGGTGAGAATCGTGGTTTTGTGAATGGCATAATTGACAAGAAGAAAAAGTCAGCTACAGGTATCATTGGACGGGATGAAAGAGGCAGACATGAGCCAAAAATTAAACATTCAAATGAAGCAATTGATTATGTACGTAATCATATTTCTAATTTCCCTGCATACGAAAGCCACTATTCAAGACGACACACTACGAAAAAATACCTGGAGACTGGGTTGAATTTACAAAAAATGTATAACTTATACCTTGACCAACATACCATGGACAACATAACTACAAAAATAGTCAGCCTTTCTACATATAGTAATATTTTTAAGACATTCAATTTAAAATTTAAAAAGCCACATAACGATACTTGCCATACTTGTGATACATTTGTAGCAAAAATAAAAATTACAATAAATGACTCTGAGAAAACGAGACTACATGACGAACATGTGTCTCATCAGGATAAAGCAAATTTCCATTACGAATGTAAATCTTTCGATAAACAACGTGCCAAGTTATCAGGAAATACTATCGTTGTCGCTGTGTGTGATTTACAGCAGTGTCTCGCTACACCTTACTTAAATACTAGTGTAGCATTTTATAAAAGGAAGCTATGGACTTTTAATTTCACAGTCAGAAATTGTAACACAGGGAAAACTACTTGCTTCATGTGGCATGAAGCTATCGCGCAACGTGGTGCTGACGAAATAGCATCTTGCCTAAAAATGTTTATAATGAGTTTGCCCGAAGAAACAGAACACGTTATTATTTATTCAGATACATGTCCCGGGCAAACCCGCAACAATACATTACCTGTTGTATATAACTACATACTTACGCAGAAAATTGGTTTGAAGACTATAGATCACAAATTTTTAGTTCCTGGTCACACACATTTAGAGTGTGATGCTGACCATGCCTCAATCGAGCGTGCCAAGAAGAAATATAATGGAAGAATTTCAATTCCAAATGACTGGTACATGCTTGTGAGAATGGTCAGCAGTAAGTTCACTGTGATAGAGTTGTCACAAGATGACATTTTTGCATTTTCGAGCATTCTAAAGCAGTCGCTTATAAAGAAGACCAAAGATCAGAATAAAGATCCTTTTCTATGGCGTAATATATTTTGGATACGTGTCGAGAAAGAACATCCTTGTTTCTTTTCTTTTAAATATTCACTGCGAGTGGAAGACGAGTTTAAAATATGTGACATGAAGAGAAAAGCCAGAGCCAGTCGAAATAATCAGCCTTTAATGGATATTCGTAAGGCGTACAATCGGCCATTATTAATAAGTAAAGAAAAACATAAGGATATTTTATCTTTATTACAGTACATTGATCCAGTGTACCATGATTTCTATAAGAATGTAATAAAGTCTGACAATGACGTAGTAGACACATCACATATTAGTGATTATAATTCCGATTCTGAATAGAAATTACTATTTTATTACGTCTATTTTCTTTTTTTTTCTTTTTGCTTCGAGTGCAATTTTATATGCCAAATATTCTGCATCATCATTTTAAATTTAAATAAAGTATTTTTCTCATATTCGTCTTTCATTTATGATCATAACACGATAACTACCTACTTCTTTTGATCACAGTGTGACAAGTGCAACCATTCTTTAAAAAAAAAAACAATACGTGAATACTACGCATTCCACGATGAATTATAAGTATTTTTACAAATCAGTAACACATTTCCTTAATTTAAAAAATATATATTTTCAATATTGCGAGTGTCTCATATTTTAATAGTAGCTTCAAGATTTCTTAATAATTTAATTGCTTCTCCTGTAAAGTAATGAAATTGTATTTATCATATTCTGACCTATGGCCACAGATATTACTTCTCACTCTGAAATTATAGTAGGTATACATTTTATCGATTTTGATTTTGGTAGTTGCTTGAATATTATGATTACCTTACATTTATTTACTGACTGACGGTTAATCTCTAATAATCGATAAACCCGAAAAAGTAAGATAGTGGGTAAATATTCGTGTTTAGTTCTGTATCTTAAATCATTGTGATCTTGCAGAAACATTATTTGTTTATAATTGTCCTAAAGAACTATATTATAGAAGTCAAACACGTTAATAATTATTTAAAGGCAAATAGTTTTTTTTAACGTTTTTTTGCCATTTGCATTTTTTCTGGAAAAAATAATTTAGGGGTGGGTCACTCTTGTCATTTAGGGGTATGAAAAATAGATGTTGGCCGATTCTCAGACCTACCCGATGTGCACATAAAATTTCATAAAAATTGGTCAAACCGTTTCGGAGGAGTATCGTAACTAACACTGTGACACGAGAATTTTATTTATAAGATAAAAGGATCTTAGCTTTCAAACCACATTTTGAATAAACTAATATTTTCGATGGTACGTTAATACATTAGTCACTAAGTTAAAAAAAAAAATATTAGCTGACTATACACGACCTGTAACATGTTTAAAGATTTTTTTTAAACTGTTATTGTAGATAGAAAACTAAAAAATATTAAATGCATTATAGATGCTATATAGCTTAAAAGCCATAGAAACAAATATTGCTCTTAGTGAGTATACAAAATACAGTTTTTTGAATACTGTGACTACAAATAGTCCGTATTGACTTATTGCAGATTTTATTTATTACATAAGATGTATGGTGTACGGTAGACATTTTTTTTGAAGATGGCAAGGTTTTAAGTTGACATTAGATAGAGTACTGCTAT